TATATATATATATATATATATATATATATATATGGGTTATTCACAAGTCATTCATACATATATATATATATATATACAGTATGTGTGTGTGTGTGTGTGTGTGTGTGTGTATATATATATATATATAATATTTCCCTCTTATATCATATTTAAAAAAACAATTTGGTAACAGCTTTTTGGTAGCCACACTAAGACTGTTGATGGTTTTACACTGTGCACTGTGTATGGTTATACAGATAGTCCTCAAGTTACGGCTATTCATTCAGTGACCGTTCAAAGTTACGGCGGCACTGAACAAATGGTAGTTATGCTTTGTCCCCAAAGTTATGGCCGTTGCAGCGCCCCTGTGATTATGTGACCAAAATTCAGGCACTTGGCAGCCCACCCACACTTAAAACCGCAGGGGCACTTCAACTCCCCCCACCTGCCTATCTCCCCCTCCATTTCTGCCCTTTTGGCTACCCTGCCCTTGCTGGCCTTGCTGCCCCAGGAAGCCCCAGCAGCATGGCACAAAGCTGCAGCCACCCCAGGAAGCTCCAGCCCAGCCCTTCAACACAAAGCCACAGCCACCCCAGCTGACCTTCACTGTCTTCTTACTTCCGCTGCTGACAAGGCACGCCCAGCCTGGCCCTTGGCAAAACAGCTGCACGCCCACCCGTTGTCCAAATCACACTTGGCCTTCTCCTTCTTGCAAGAAGGAGGCTTCCGAACTTTAAATAAAGTTTTTAAGAATTTATTATCCAAATGGTTGAATGTTCTGATTTGGTTATTCTTCTGCTTGTTCTTGAAAGATAACTACTGATGTTAAGCCCAGTATGTTTAATAAGATTGGAAAACACACTGCCCCAAATCCAATTAATTCATTAAAGAAATGTAATGTACTATAAGGCCCTCCAACTTAGCACACTAAAGAATTTTATATTTGCTGGAGACATTCAGGACCTGTTCTCTGCAGTAATTTGAAAATAAAAGGCCCCTGAGTTTTATACTGTTAATTAAAATTTAAAATCAGTAGGAATTGCCTTACTTGGCTGTTAGTTTTGTGTGGAAGGCATGCATATGCTTTGGTCACAAAACAGTATCTGTAAGTTTTAAAAAATCAATAGTATACCCATATAATGTTTTTAAAGTGTTTGAACACAGTAGGGCTGGGGGGGTTTTCTTTTCTTTTTCTTATTTTTCGTTTGATTTTTCATACTTTTATTGTATTTAAAAATTCTAATAAAAATGAATGTTAAGAAAATGGACACAGTAGGGCTGTGAGCTATAACATGGTCTTAACTTAATTAAAAATATCCCAACCATCCTTATTCCTTTCCTAAAATGGAAGGATGTAAGAAGGGTTTTCTCATCTCTATGAAATATCTGCAAACTGAGGGAGTCATCCACATACCCTCCTGGATATGCTTTCCTCCTGTCTCCGAAGCAGGAAGAAAATACCCATGAACCATCGTTTTAAAAAGTGAGTCACCAAAAACATATTTGTAATTTTTAAAAATTAATGCTACAGCCATATAATACTTTAAAGAAAAGGTGATTTTTTTTTTCCTTTAGGATTTCAGAACTATAATAAAACTCACTTTCAAAACTGCTGTCTCCATGGTAGTCCTTTTACACTATGTCAGATAAAATGGCTGCCTGCAGAGATAGTAATACTTTCTGTGCCGCATTTGGTTGTTCTGGACTGTGAAAAAATAGCCCCTGCAGCAAGAACAGACATTTGTATTTCCTGCTTTGTAAGACGGCGTCTTCTGGTCTGCAGAGCTCCCCCCAGTGCCTTTCCTGAGCCCTCCCACCAAAGGCTGTCAAACAGTGCTGAGCAGAGCAATTCTCCTTGTCCCTCCTTCCTGTCATTCCTCTATAGTTGCTCCAATTGGTTCATTCAGCAGTTGGTCTTCTTGGGGTATCGCCTCTACCTTTTAAGGAGAACAAGAGGCCTCTTCCAGGCCCTTTCCTTTCAAACACCTACTGTCAATGATACTTCCCGGAATGAAACCCTATTAAAACAAGTGCTGTGCAAACTCTACCAGCTAGACCAGATTTCCCTCCCCCGTCCAGCTTTCTTTCCTTTCCTCTTTCTCCCACATGAGTGCTGCAGAAACTGTGTGACCTCCTGGGAGATGTGTGGTTGATCTTCCACAAGGTCAGTGTTCTCACAGAAGAGAAGAAAAAGGAAAGGAAAACATGGTGCTGGCAAGATTCTGTTTACTATGGTGGCCAGAGTAGAAATGGCCGGGGGGAACAGAATCCCGTGCCCCCAAGGGGAGGCACCGACCCTCCAAGTGGAGCCAAGCAACAGTGCTGACTCTCTCAAGCTGCTCCTCCACGCAACATAGAATGTCTATATAAAAAGTGCCCCTGGGGAAACACCACCTCCCTGCCAGACCACCTTGATCCAGATTCAGCCTGCCTCGGCCACAGGCTGGCAAGGTAGTAGAAGGTCCACTGTAAGGAAAAATCCTCAATAACGGATCAGTAAGCCATCTCTAGGGGACGCAGTGGCGCAGCGGCTTAATGACGCTGAAAGTTGCCGGCCAGAAATGGTTGACACTT